TAAGACGGCCTGCCTTCAATTTTCTAAAATAGGTTATGTTTGTTGTTTGAAACCTGACTATAACTGGCAGTGTGACCACAATAAAAGATGAGTGGTTCTCTGCCCTTCCCCTTCTTTCATTTCTTAGTTCTTCCAGAAGTTGGTCCAATAAAAATATATTAGGTCTCCCACCTTGTCTTTCTGATATCTTGGCACCAATATGGCTATAACTACACTGCATAGTCCTTCCCCTAGCAGTATCAGTAGGGGATGGGGAAAGAGTTTTCTTCTAACTACAGCTACTAGTATACGTAATACTTCCTGTCAATGCTTGTTGTTGAGTTACAAGGCTGCACTCTTAACTCTGGAGACTCAATATTGTTGCAGTTTCTAGTTCTTGCAGACTTGTGAATTGAAAGAATGAGTCCAGATCTAAATCTGAGCTTTCCTCACTCTGTACTCTAAATGTAATGTCCAGTGGTATGCTGCCATATTATTTATTACATAGGTTGTGATCCTGCAGCTTTGAAGTATCCGGCATACTGCTGGCACTTCATGTTGCAGAGCACCACAAACACTTCTGTATGCTTTCTTATTTATAAAATATATCAGGGTGGATTGATTTAAATCCTGATTTAAACCACCAAGTGGAAAGCTTCCATTTAAATGATCAGTTTTAATCAGCTTTTCTGTTTGTTACTTCCTAAAGAGAGGTGAATTCTCACTGGTTGATACAACTATTAAAACGTTGATTTACAACTAAATAGAGCCTTTACGCTAGATGTAGTACATCTTTTTGCTACCTAGAAGGGTGCACTTTAATAATATACATTTATTTAAGCAATTACATAGCTTAATATTTTCAGATTCTTATTAATTGTATATTTTAGTATGTTAAAAAATGGTGAATGATCTATTGCTTGTTTACTAGATTTTTTTTTTTTGCTTTTCACTTATCAAGCTGCATTAAGATGGTAATAAATTTAAACACATAGCATATAAAATTTTATTTTTATTAAACAAAACAACCTTTAAATGTTTTGGATACATACTTTTCTGTTATCAAAACATGTTTCACATTTACATCTAAGTGATTTTAATAAAGGAACAGAGGGATTAACAAATCAGTGAATTAAACTGATTATTTCATCAGCCTGGGAAATTTTTCAAATATGCCTAAGTGAAAGTGATTGGAGTGTAAGTTGCTACTCGCCTCATTTTCCAGAGACTTAGGCAACAGTCTCCTAAGTTGCTTAGGCTGTCCTGCAAACTTTTAAAACTAGATCTCAACCTGTCTCCTCATTTTTTATTCATAGGTTAGAAAAGGGAGACAAGTTTTCCTGTTTTTTCAACTCTGCTGATTTCTCAACTTTGAATGAAATGAAGAAAATATTATTTCTGTGTCTGCAGAAGAGGCTGCTGCTGTCCAAAGCTGCACTTACTCTGATTCCATGTGCTTGGCTAGTGACTTCGGTCAGTTCAGTGATGTGACTTCCTTTAAAACATCAGCAAACATCTACTGTGGGAATAGTTTACCTCCAGCCCTGACATTTATTATGGTTGGCATGATTGATGGGTGATGATTAGATGTCCATGTCATTGCTAAAGAAGATGCTGCTGCTGTTAGGCATCTACCCTGGTACTTTGGTGTTCGATCCATCTCATTTTCTTGCCAATATGCTATCTTCTTCTTTACTGCCTGCAATTTAACTTTGTTGTTGAGTATTTCTCTCTTCAACGTCTTTGAAATTCTTTTCAAATTTAAACATCAGCAACACAGTAGCAATGTTTTCTGCAGTTTGTCCAAGGCTATGGAAATAGATTTTAGTATACTCAGCGTATCTTCTGCTTTTCTCTTTAGTCCATTGTTGACTGCTTTATCATACACTAGCATAGTAAAAAATGGTAAGCAATCCATAGGAATGATGCAAAAATAAGTTTACTAACTGGTTGATTCAGATGTGTCCACATCATCGTCAGGCCTTGCATCTTTGTTGCACTGTTTGCAATTAGCACATGTTCATTTTTTTACCCAGCAGTACAGGAATTTATTGAAAATAAATTCCCAAATAGGGTCTTTTTTTATGACTTACAGCCATGGCAGGTTTTTTCCCCTCCAGTTCCCAGGTATTGAAATAAGCACTAGAATTTGTACTTGGAAGAATATTCTTCTTCCACTGCCCTGCTTTGAGATCAGTGTTGTTCCTTTCTGGCTGCACACTTGGCTCCGTCTCCCTTATTACATGACAAAAGAAAAACAAGAGAACTAACAGTCCAAGACTTCTGCTCATGTAACCCACATGCCTTTTGCACCTGCAGTATTTTTTTTATTTAGGGATAGAGAGAGGCAGTTGAGAAACTAATGGATTTGTTTGTATCTCTGTCTGCGTACACAGAGCAAGGCATTTTACTTGAAGTGCCCATAAAGCATCCAGAAGCAAGGGCAGGTAGTTAGAGGGCAGATCAGTGTTTCTCCGGGAGCTGGAGAATAATTTTTCTTGCTGGGTGGAGTCCTAAATATGCACAGCTTGAGAACTGAGCCAGTCAGAACTCAGGCAGTGAGAAACAATAAAACAGGAGTAGGAGGCCACCCAGGTGGGCTCATGGATGATTCTGATGAGATACGTGATGGTGTCTCCTGGAGTCAGAGACTGGGTCCCAATGCCTGTGATGAGTTTGCCGGTCTCTTGCACCCAGTAGCACAGCACTTTAACTCAGATTTATTGATAGAGGCTCATGGATTCAGTATATTGATTTTTTTTTTATTTAAATCTTTTAAGAGATAATAAATGTAGGCCTTAATATATTTTGTATTAAATTCAGATTCCATTTTAAAGAGGTTTATTTTTTTTATAAAAAAGAAACTTATAATTTAAATAAAATAAAAATCTGATATTTTAATTTTTTTTTCATTCAAAAAAATCTGTGTTTTTTAAATCTACTGATTGCATAGCCTCTGGCCACCTTTTACTGAAAACAAAACAATTGCATTCTATATGGTAGCTATCCTTCCCAAAAACGTATGAGCCATCTCATTAAAAAGCCAGCAGTGCTCAGTCAAAAAATGTTCCTTATTAAAAAAACAAACAAAAACCAATCCAGTCAGGTAAAAAGCATGAGAAAACAGATGTGCTCTGGAACAGGAGATCTAATAAGTCTTGAGGAGATGTCTTCTCTGAAAATGCCGTATCTTTGGTCTCCAAAGGCCAGCACAGACACTATAGAAGTGTGGCAGCTGATTTGGACTGCCAGGACAATCTGTAGGGAGATGTTTGCTCTAGGAACTAGGGACCATATCTAAATCAGGGAATTCTAGCAAAAAAATTCCTGCCAGTTTCTACTGCTGGTTCAGCTGCAGTGATGGAACTGGAGCGTATACATGGCTATAATGGCTTCTGGTATCTGTTACCACCACCGCAACGTCCAGGACTATATTTCAAAAGCCTAGTCTCCTCTTTAATTCTTGCAAAAACTGTGCCTGTATCTTTGACCTACAATTGTTTATTGAAGCAAATAGGTAGTTATCCAACTACTGCTATGTCCCCAATTTATTTACAGACACAAATTGCACGTGCAAAAGGGGAGACCTGTCTGAAATTTTGGGTGTAAGAGTCAGTGTGCTCAGTGCTTGATGCTATTCTTTTATTCTGGTTATTCTCACGTTATTTCAGGCTCATGAATACATTTATCTAGTCAACTTACTGAAGTGTAGTGCTTGAAGAGCAAAAGTGTATCTTAAAATTATTGTTGTAAAAATTATTCTCTTGCTTATAATTCCCTTTTTTTTTTGTCCACAGATAAATTATGGCAAGTTTAGCAACTCTCAAAAATAGGGCATTGTAATGGAAATTTTGGCAGACTTAACTATGTTGACATGAACAGCACCATTGCTGTAACAACTGCCCAACATAATCTAAAAATAGAATCTATTCTGCCTTGCTAGGGAGTCTTTCTAATAAGAAGGATCTTTAATCCCATCACTAATTCAGCTTTTTTTTTTGCAACAGGTTTTATCCTTCTAAAGCATGGCTTGCATCATCTTTCTTCCCCCATGCCCGTAATTATCTGTGCTGCTCTACAGATCTGTGTTATAACATCAGATCTTCCTGGGTGCCTTATTTGTTACCGTTTTGGTAATTAGCATGAATTAAAACATTATTTCCCTACTCTTACTTCAAGACACATACAAATTTTAACCAGATCTTTAAAAGTAGTACCTTCAAAAACCTTAACTGAAAGAAGCTCAGGAAAAAACACTAGCTGTGTGACTCAGATTGCTTTTGGCTCATATGCCTGGGTGTGTACATGAGTGTTTTTACTCAGGAGACAAGTTTAGCACCAATTACAAAATACTGAACTGCCCCTCCTTTTATTGGTTTGTTTTTTTTTTTTTAGAAAGTGAACTCAGAAATACTCTCTACTGTTTAGTGAATGATATTCAAAAGACTTCTAAAGAAAACAACTTTCCTGTATATTTAACTTACAAGAGGATTAGGTGGCAAAGCATCTAATAAAAGCACTTAGGAAATAATGTGTAATTGGAGGGCTGGTCGTTGAGCTACTGAGGATATTTTAAAGGTATTACTTCAGGTATTGTAAAATCTCTGTTTTGTTTTTTTAATAGTGTAGCATAATATGGGATCTGTCAATCACTTGGAAAGTGGTGTGTTATAATTACAGTGATGGCAGCTTGACATATTTTATGATGGCATTCCACAGAACTCAGTAAATGCCAAAAAATAGATTATCTAGGTCTACGCAGAAGGAAAACTGTCCTCAAGAGGAAACAGATTAGGTTCATGCAGCTTTGATAAGGATATCTAGCAATAGCAGTAAAGTTTAAAAAAAAAAAAAAAAAAGTCAACTTTGTATCTTGGAATGCAGTTCTTTGATGCCAGAAATTTTTTCTACTGCAGTATTTGCAACATTCCATAACACAGGCTGAACAAAGCAAGGGCTCTCTTACCTTGAATTTAAATACTTTTAAACCATTGCATCACTTTATTTTCACCTTTTTGCAGTATGATTTGAAACAGTCACCATGGATTTTTCACGTCTACACACGTACACCCCACCCCAATGTGTGCCAGAGAACACTGGCTATACATATGCACTCAGGTGAGAATTTTTATTTCTTATGGATAAATTATAAACACTCCAAAATGTTGTTAATCCTAGAAACCTTGGCTGTCATGGTAAGTAATTACTTTTTAAATACGCTTTCTTAAAAAAAAATCTACAGTGTATGTTATAGATATTAATGTCTAATCTTGTTTCCTCTCTGGAGATAAATGTACACATTAATTTGGAAAATTGCAAGTTCTGGACTAACAGGAGGGTGAATGACTAAGATAATGACTCATTATTTCAGTTGCTATGAATACACTGGCCTAACCCTGCACTTAGATACCATTGTTGTCTTGTTTATGATGTCTTAAAAAAATTCATACATGGATCTGTTTTTATGGCTTCATTGCAGTTAATCAAAATAACTTATTTGTAAACCTTATTAGGATAAACATGTCACTCAGAAAACAAATATGTAAGGCCCATTAGTTATAATGTGCAATTGTTGCGACTCCAGTAGATGACTGAGTGTGGAATTCCACCCAAAGTAAACCATTCATTAAATTTCCGCAAGACCGTTATTGTAGCTATAACTCTGAATTTTGGTGAGCTAGTTGTTCGTAGGGATATTAAACTGACCACTCTGTGGTCCATTTTTTCATTAGCTAAATCACTTCACATTACCAAAGTTACTTTGATAGTATAGTTTCTGCTCCACATTATGCAACTGAAAGGAGAGACATAAATCTTCCTAATCATAAACCCACCTTTTAGATAAGCATTCAAGATTGCTTAAGCAAATCTGCTTTCTAAATTCAGGAAAGTATCTGAAGGATATGTAAAGGGGATGAAAGGAGATATCAGTCTTAAACCTGTAATAAAGTTATGTATCTTTTTCCTATCAAGGAATATTTTTACTTAATGAAAGTTAGCGGAGGATATCTTTACACTTGCATTATAAACAGCAGGGTTATCACTTTCAGGATGGGGATTTTAAAACTTGCTGTTGGGGGGGGGCACTGGGAAATTCACGTGATGAATGAAGAGCTGCAGACTTATTGTTGAAAGAATTTACTTAAAAACAATTCTGTACATTCTGTAATCGTATACATTTTCTAGTTATATTGAAAAATACATGCACAAAATTAGAATCTCATTTTTTCCTCCTGATTTGAGATACTGTATTCTTAATAATCACCTTAAACCAAAAGTCTTTTTTAATACCTTTGTATCCTCTCCATAAAGCTAGCTTCTTTTGAAAATAGAATTGTAACTGGGATGAGGGGGAATAAGTAACTCTTGGTGTTATTCCAGGAAACTGAGACTGGTTTTAAGTTTGTTGTGTTGTGCAGGCCCAAGTGTCTTGGCAGAGAGGCAGTAATTTAATTTTTTCTTCTAAAGAAAAACTCAGTGGCTTGATAAGCTTTTAGTCATGACCCTTTTTACCTCTTGGAGGTGTTTGATGACCTCTCCCTTCCCCACCCCATCACGGGTCCTGATTTATGGTCTTTACTCCAGCAAGACTCCCAGTGAACTAGATGGGGAGTCTTGCTTGAGGAAGGACCACAAGATTTGATCAGGCCCTGATGAAAGGAGTGGTAGGACATCTTGAATATAAGAGGGTAATGGGATGCTAAAGGTAAATTGGGCATTTTGCTCTTTCTATATAGGTGAAGATCTTGTAAGGATGAGATTAGTTCGGTCTTTGGAGGGGATAAGGGGGCAAGGGAAACTTGCTGTGGCTGCACAGCATCCCACTTGGCTGCTTTCAGTCACTTTACATATTGTAGGTAAACAACTGGCTGAGGGAGGGTTTGATAAGCTAAAGTTTGGCAATTCATCTATTCTTGGAGGCATCAGACAGCTTTGGTTTAAGATGTAGCAACTTTCATAATACAGAATCTTATTTCAGAGCCTATTGCAGGAAAGTATCTGTAAATGCTCTAATTGTAATTTATAATAAAATACCATCTGAAGCTTTGGCAACACTTGAAACATTAAAATAGGGGAAGTTGGCATACTGAGATCTGCATTCAAGGTCCTGAGTATAAACTTCAAAGCCTGTTTGTCACTTCAAGGCCTGTTGATTGAGCAGGACTTCACCATCTCAGTCTTTGCATGCTGAGGTCTTTTTATAGTATATAAAGATTTCTTTGCACAAGTCTGCCATCCTCGGATTTAGTGATACTTGGAAAACCCTACAGAAGGGAGGGTGCGCAAAACTGCTTCCTTATGAGTGTTAATTTTTAGCTTTATTTTGCAGGGTATTTGTATTCATGTTGTTCAGATTTTTTTCTTTTTATGCCTCCCTCCTCATTCTGTCCCGTCCCTTTCCCCACCCCCAATGGTCTCAAGGTGCTTTACAAACACTAAACTATCCCAGAAAGGTAGCTTTTATAGCATACTCATTTCACTCCTGGGGAAAACTGAGGCAGAGGAGTTAACTTGTATATTCTGTGCAAGCTGAGAACAGACAATAATGTTCAGTAAAAAGTAGGGAAAATCCAGATACTACAAATCAGTCAATAGCCTCAGTTATGATTTATTAATAGGAGCCTCCATTAATACTAACAGGAATTACTACGTAATCCTAAATGTTTGCACCTGTACTGAGAAAATGGTGATGTACTAATTAGTATTCTATATCTTGGGCTACATTCAAAGGAACATTTAGAGTGATGTGTCTTACAACTTTCAGCCTTCCCAGCATGTAAATTGAACCTCAGATTCTCACCCCCTTGTTAATGTGTAATTTACAGACTTTAATTAGACTGGCTTCCAAATTTAGCCCCGTTTCTTTCTCAAAGGATTTGTGGTTCTGACAGTTCAGGTGCGTTTCACCCTCCGTGTGGAAAATGGTACAAATGGTAGTGAAAGGTTTTGGTTTAAAGTAGACATTCACTGGGTCTTGAGAATAAATGTATGCATCTCTAACCTGTAGACAGGAATCTTGTACTCACTGAGCTTAAAGATCAAATACATTCAATCCATACTTCAGTAAATTAACACGAACCTGAAAATATCAATAATTAGAAGCAGTACACTGATTGAGAATAGTCTGCTTATTTTGTCTGGAATAGGGCAAGGGAGTAACTGTTCCAGGGCAAACTTGTCACTACAGGTGTTTATCCATGCTAATGCATTTCCTAGCCAGAGCAGTGATATGCTGATAATCTACTTGCTTGGAAACTTAGAAGTATATGGTTAGTCCTTAGCTCACATATATCCACTGGAATTGTTCTCCAATTTATTGCTAGTGGACTGGAGCTGCTTTACCTACTTCATTGCAACTTCTATAAAATAAGAAACTATCCCAAAGAACACTTGAAAAATGGGTCACTTGCACTGCCCTGTACACAAAGCTAAATTTATGGTAAACTCAGTAGACTAATTCTGATTCTGCTTAAACCAGTATAATTTAGTAGTTAACTCCATTGAGATTAGTAATTTTATGCCACCACTAGTAGATGAAAGCCCATGTTGTCACATGGGTGTAATTCATAATTGAGGTGGGGGAGGGGGGAAGAGAGGCTGAAAATGGCTGAGAACTTAAAAATTGAGTGGTCACAGACCTCAAAACCCAGTAATGCTTCAGCCTGGTGGTATTCTGAACAGAAAGAGCTTTTGGCCCTGCTTGCTGCTGCTTCCATCTCTTCACACTGATTGTACAGACATAATAGCCTTCAGAATGACACTGGCATTCCTGGAATCTTTTTAAATAGTTTTTAATCTATCATAAAGGGTGGGGGAAGTGTAAAGGTAACAGCTAGACGAAAAAGTAAGACTACCTATGTAATAGTGGAGAAATCTATGAGCAGCTGAGAAAGCATATATAGGGGCAAGAGGTTGCAATGTCTTCTTTGAATTCCATCACACCCAAGTATAACCTAGCATTCATATTTGCTTCTTGCTAGTAGGTTTATTTCTCTAGGCAGTAGATATCTAGCTGATTTTTCAAGCAATGTTATACATTATGTGAAAAATAACTTGAACACCATAAATTGTTCTGTCATACATAAGGAAAGCTTCAGTGGTCTCCCTAACAAGAAAAACAAACCCTCCTCCAAAATATGGAAGTTGCATCTGGAGATGGGAGACTAGACTTCGAGGTATTGTCCATTTGTGTCACTGAAGTCCAAGATGACTTCGGTTTGTTTAAGAAGTGTAGTAGTTCTCTTAATACTAGAGTAGAGCCAAAATGCAAGTGTTATGTGTTGTTTTTTTTTACTTAGTGTGAAATTCAGACCTTAAAATTGAATCGGTACAAAACAATCCCGTGATATTAAGATCTGAAATAAGTACAAGTATTTGCTAATGAAAACAAACTAAAGCTAGTTACAGCTGTCGTTTGTTCTGTGTACTTTTGTGTTCTTCTTGTGAATTAGTTATCTGTAGTATCATTGGCTGAAGATGAATAAAAACAGATGCATAGTGGCAAGTGCAAATAGCAAATCAAATCGCAAGAGCCATTTGTTCAGGGAAGTCCTCAAATTAATAATAAACTATTGAGATCTTTCTAATCTTCCATGATGAAGGAATGAGTAATAGGGTATACTTTGTTTCCTAGGTAACTTTTCTTCCCTCTTTAGATGTCTTTGTGTAGCTTATGTTCAACTAACTTTAACTACTCTTGAAAGTCCTGTAAGTATCACAAATTTTGACAAAGAAGAATGTAAACTAAACGCTGGGGCCCAAATTTTATCTCTCACAAGCGTCCTTTGCCCTGCTATAATGAAATTCGGAGGGGAAATTTGATGTTAGGTGTCTGATCTAAGTATCTAGTGCAACATAAGTGTGTGCAAACAAACTGCATGATGTGTTGTCTTGAGCTGAGCTTGGGCTTCTGTTTTACACCTGGATTCAGATGTCCAGAATCACTACAGATTCTGGTCTTGATTTATTTGTACAGAAAAGTGACTGCAGTAGATGAAGGTTGTATTGTCTCTTGAAAGGCATTTGCCTGGACAGCCATAAAAATAAGAAAAATGTATATGAAAGAGGGGCTACTTCTGACGTAAATGAAACAATGTACTCCTAACTTTTTTTCTTATTTTTGTATATTTTAGGGTGATTTTAAAGGTGTTTACTGACATTAGGAAAAAGTTAATCTTATATCTTGTAACTTGTGTTTTTTTAACATTTGTAATTTTTTTTTGAGTTGTCAATTTAAATTTGTATTTATTTATTATATTATGTGCAGTGGCATCTGGATAAGACACTGTTAATAAACTGAGTAAACCATTTGGTTACAAGGTTATAGGTAGAACAAAAGGTGTAAGTATCCTCATGCTTGTTGCTACCAGCAGTGTTCAGAGCAGATGCAGAGAAACTGACCCATTTCTGGTATATCTCATAGAACTGGCCAGAAATATACTCCGGGTATGTCTATGCTACAGCAGCACAGCTACGACGCTGCAGCTGCACACTGTAGCACTGTAGTGTAGACACAGCAACAGAAGGGGAGAGGCTGGTGACATGCCGGTGTCTACACCAGTGCTTAGGTTGGCTTAACCACATCTCTCAGGTGTGAATTTTTCACACCCCTGACTGTTGTAGCTTGGTGGACCGAAGTTTTAAGTATACACCAGGCCTGAGGTAATTTTGCCACAGTTCTCTTTTTCTGGAATCAACTTTGTACCTGGCCAGTGGCCCAGCAGAGATTACAGACTTCAGTGGGACATTCCCCTGTAACAGTTTGATCTTGGAATGAACAGATACCCAGAAAATTTTAACTGCAGGACATCTGTATTACATGCATACAATCACGGTTTCTCCAACATCTAGTGGCATTAGAGCCTGGTTTCTTACTCAAACAGAATAGATAGCTATAAAATGTCTTGAGTCTAAATAATGAATTTCCTTCTTGTATAAATACAAATCTTACGTGCTTTGCACCAAATCTGTCTCCTGTCTTAGAGTAGGGCATACTGTTACTCACTTTTTTCCCCAGGTAGTCTCAAGACCAAAACTGCCTAGAGCATGCCTCTCCTAGTTATAGTTATCTCTGTGCGTGTTTGTTTGTGTAAGAGAATCAACAAATCTAGAATTCTGTTTGTGCATTGTTTCAGTCTGCTTCAATGCTAAGAGTATAGTTTTGAGGAAACAATTCAGAGCCTCTCTGCATGTAAACTTACATCATTTGAAATAAACCAGTTAGTTAAACTAAACAGGTGCAAAAGGACACTCTTATTTCAGTTTAGCTTAGACCTGTTTTTAATTCCTTAAACTAAACCAACTAAGAACTGTCCACAGCCTTTTGCACCTGTTAACTAAATTGGTTTAAAAAAAACAGTTTGGTGAAACTGGTGCAACTCTGGATATATGTGCCTATACGAATGTTCAGCTTAAGTCCTCATTTCTTATGAATAGTTTAGAATCATAAACTTGCCTAGCATACAACTCTTTAGATATCAGCAATTACTTGAGCTGGGCCAAAATGTTTGCAACCTTGGTTTAGAATTAGAATGTGTAAATATTTTTCCACTGTGTCTTAACTCAAATTTCATGATGAATTTTAACAGGGTAGAAAAATCACGTCTTGGGTTGAACCTAAGCATGACACAAATCAGCCCACTTGGAATAGAATACTTGCTTCAGCTTTAGTTCAGAGAATACTTCCCCAGTAACTAGAAAATTCTGGACTTAATTATTCATAGGATGTGAAAGTATTTTGATACCGTTACAGAGGGATTCTCTGTAAAGTGCTGTTTTTATTTGCTTGTTGATGTATATGAATCTGCTTATCTAAACCGTACATACAGAAGTATGCAATTACTTTGCTAGTAACTTTTGTTGGATGCTTAACAGTGTTTCATAGGCCCTGATCCTGCAGTAAGAACTGCTTACGTAGACCCCTACACCCACACTGAACTTTGCTGAAGTCAGTAGGGTTCTGTGTGGATGCTGGGAACTGCTTGTGTGGTTCTCTGGGCAGAATGAGGACTATGGTGAGGATAAGTTGAATCTATAAAAACCATAGACTTTTTCTTTCGGGGAGGAAATTCTGATACATTGAAATGTATCTTAAAAACTGTTAGTGTACAGCTTTATTTTTATTTTAGTTCAAGTTATTCTTCAACTGCTCTGGATTTTGAGACTGAACACAAATTGGATCCAGTGTTTGATTCTCCAAGAATGTCAAGACGCAGTTTACGCTTGGTCACTTCAGGATATAATGCAACAGATGATGCCCAAAATGACAACATTCATAGCAATTCCTATATTGGAAACGTATCTTTGTCAGATCAGTCATCCAGGTAAGCAGACTTTATTTTTTTTATATATTTAATGCAAGTTACCTATTGGCAGATTCTAGGTTTGCCCATTTAATCATGTATCAGACAAATAATTCGTGGCTGATCCAGAACTCAGACTTAATGTTGGAATGTGGCAGTGCGAAAGAGACTCTTCGATTTTTACTGTAGTAAAAACTGAAATAAACTTATAATTAAAGAGCTTAGATTGCATGTTTCTCAGTCTTGTGCAAAGGGAATTTTGTCTTAATCTTAGACAGAAAAAACAGCTGAAAGGAAAAAGATGGTTTCCTCTCCTCCTCTTATTAAACATAATTTTCAACAGTAGAACGAGGACTAAATTTCAGCTTTGTTGCATTTTGCTGCATTTTGCTCTGTGGCCAATGTGCTGTGCACCAACTCAGTAGCGCCAGTGGCCTTTTTTTTTAAATCTGGTCTTCGGAATACTTGCCTTTGAATTATTTTGCCAGTGAAACAAACATTTTTTGTTCTGTTAAATATTTTAGGACACAATGTTGACTGTGAAATTAACTATATCTTAAATGAGAAGAGTGACAGTAATAGAAGCAAATTTATGATCCTAACTCTATAAAACTTTTTCACTTGTTCAACTGTCTGCATTGCAAGTAATCCCCTTGACGTCAATGGGACTACTCACTCACCTGCTTAAGATTAGTCCCACTGAAGTCAATGAGACAACTTTACACACTGCAAGTAACAGGTAAATCAGTCTTTCTAGGATTGTGGCCTAAATCATGAAAATTCAGATGAGAAAACATACAAAGGTGGCTATTCTTCATAAGAACTCACTAGAGCCCTTAAATGAAACTGTACGCTGTTGATAGTTACTCATCTGATAGTCTAACATATAACATTTGGGTATATGAATCATAGGGTTAGAAGGGACTGCAAGGGTCATCTAGTCTAACCTCCTAGATATGTCGAACTCTGCTATACAAAAATTTAAATATACAATTAATATTCAATATGTAATCTAGAGTAAAATGCCTGAAATGTTTGCAGTTGGATATATGCTGAGAGCAAGGGGAGACAAACCAAATGTTCATCTTGTATATAGCTTTGGTTACCAGTGAAACTGGTTAGCCTAAAAAGCCTTTTCAGTGCAGTTTGTATCCCCATCAATACGAAATACTTAAATCAGACTAAAATTAATCATACAAAAATTAAACTCCTTACATACTAAATGCGGAGCTTAGAGCTTACTTATAGAATCATAGAAATGTAGGTCTAGAAGGGACCTTCAAAGGTCAAGGCCAGCTCCCTGCACTGAGGCAGGACCAACTAAACCTATACCATCCCTGACAGGTGTTTGTCCAAACCATTCTTAAAAATCTCACAAGGGGGATTCCACAACCTCCCTTAGAAACCTATTGCAGAGCTTAACTACCATTCTAGTTAGAAAGTTTTTCCTAATATCTAACCTGAATCTCCCTAGCTGCAGATTAAGCCCATTACTTCCTGTCCTACCTCCACTGGATGTGGACAAAAATTGATCACTGTGCTCTTTCCATTAGCCCTTAACGTATTTGAAGACTGTTATCAGGTCCCTCCTCAGTCGTCTTCTCTCAAGAAGACTAAACATGCCCAGGTTTTTTTAACCTTTCCCCATTGATCAGGTTTTTTAAAAAACTTTTTATCATTTTGATTGCTCTTCTCTGGACTCTCTCCAATTTTTCCATATCTTTACTAAAGTGTGGTGCCTGCAACTGGACACAGTACTCCAGCTAAGGCCTCGCCAATACAGAGTAAAGTAGGACAGTTGCTTCCCTTGTCTTACGTATGACACCCCTGTTTAATACACCCCAGCATATTAGTCTTTTTCATAGCTGTATCACACTGTTGACTCATTTAATTGTGTGGTGCACGGTAACTCCCATATCCTCTTCAACAATACTATCGCCTAGCCAAGTTGTTCCCCGTTTTGTAATTGTGCGTGTGATTTTTCGTTCCCAAGTGTAGTACTTTGTACTTGTATTTACTGAATGTCATCTTGTTGAATTCAGACCAATCCTCCCAAGTTGTCAAGGTCATTTTGAATTCTAATTCTGTCCTTCAAAGTGCTTGCAACCCCTCCCAACTCAGTGTTGTCTGAAATTTTATAAGCACACTTTTCATTCCGTTATCCAAGTCCTTAATGAAAATATTGAGTAGTACCAGTCCCAGGACTGAGCCTTGCTGAATCCCACTGATACACCCTCCCAATTTGACACAAACCATTGATAACTACCTTTCAGTATGTTCTTTTTTGTTTAATGTTATGGCATCTCTTCATGTTCTGCCTTTTTTTCTTTAGAACAGCAAAGCAGCGCAAAAGTATGAGCAAGCAGTCTGTCACTGTGAAACATACTCCAAGAAAAAATGTATCCAGCTCTTCTATTTTTAGCCAAAGTAGTTTCAATAGCCATGCCAGTGATACATCTCTGGTATCTACTGTATTGGATGAATCTTTGATTCAGGAGCAAACAGAAGTTGACCATTTTTGGGGTAAGTAATACAGTGCTACTACACATTTGAATATTTATGCCAGCCTGTGATGTGAAAGCTATTTTGAGGTTCTATTTGTTTTTTGTTTTTTGTAGAAGCTTCCTTACCTAAAGAACGTTGATAGCAACATACTTATTACCATGTTTGTCTAAAGGTCACCACTTACTGTCTAAATTCTTACTATAGTTTTGGCAGAGGACACATTACCTTTGAATAAAATGTTTAACATATTATTGCTGCACAGTAAGACTGATATGCCAACCAAAATGTACTGCCTCAACATAGCAAAGATGCTCACTAGCAAGATGCTCTCTGTGGATTTAGTGTTCTTCTGCTATTGTCATTTCTGAAGCTCAGCAGGAGTCTCCTACTGAAGGTATCATAAAGAAAAATCCTAGATAACAAGTTTAGTTAAAAAGATAAGTAAGTTACAACATGTGACTTTTATCATGAACAAATATGGATGTGTGAAATGTGTTCAGTCACAACAGAGAAGCAGGAAGCTATTGTATGTGTGTTCATAGGTTAGTGAAGTTGTAGATTTTTAAATATAATGAAATTTCCAGTGGATAGCAAAAGTAAAGATTATGGAGATTAGGCACCTGTGCGGCTAGTCCAATATTTGGATTATGTGATTCACATGACACCACCTTTCAACAGACACTTCTTCTTTTATGCTTTTGTAGTTAATAGGTTTTTGTTTCAAGCCTAAGCACAATTGCATTTGGGATGCTAACATGTTTTTCTGGCAACTGTACGCAGAATGCAGATTTTAAAAAAGAGGTTTAATATAAATTGTGATCAAACTACAGAATAGTTGTGTGTGCATCATGAAGTAACGTGGCTATTTATTTATAGTACTCTGAGGCTGGTGAATCTGCAATTAATGACTTCTTAAAAGTTATCCGTTGTGTGAGAAATTGGAGGTAGAGAGAGAAGAGAAAAGCCTGGTGTAAATCCGTATACATCGAGCTGCCTAAAAAGGGAGACATGCCTGCCAGATTGCAAGAACTGTAGAATGATCTCTAATTTCTAAGATGCAGCTTTGTCACTTTAACATTAAGAGTAGATTGGAGTGATAAGAGGACAGGTAATAAGCGGAAAGGTAGTATAGATAAAGCATTCACTTGTGTTGCTTCGACCAGAAAGTTTAGACTCGTTATCTGGAAAGTGCATTTATTGGTCATGAAAGATTAGTTTGGAGCAATTTAGTAACTCTTGAACAGAGAGAGAAAAATCCATATTACTAAAGCCTTGACTACACTAGAAAGGATTTGCTTGCATAGCTATTCCAGCAACCCTTTGTAGTGGAAATGCAACTTATACCAGCAAAAGAACTCTTGCCATTCTACCACACTTCTGGCATAGCTGTGCTGGCAAAATGTTTAAGTATAGATAAGGCTTCAGTCTCTGACTGCTCAGACTACTTGGAGATGGTAATCCTTTCTGAACAAAGGTCTGATCCTCTACTCCTTGCTCATGCAAAAATCCCATTCACTCTGGAATAAGGAGTGCCAGACTGGGTAGCAGAAGACAGCATTGTTGTTGAAGATGTTGGTCCTGCTCTGCCTATAAGAAAGGGGCTCTATTAGTAGTAATGGTGTAATACCTCTTTGGGTTCTTCTAGGGAAAGCTTTTTCCCCAAAATGACTTACTGTGGACAAGAACCTGGTTGATCTGCCTATTGCTAGGCTGGTGCTCCAGGTGATACTTTGTGCCTCAGACCCAGTAATCTAACCTGGATCTCTACTTCGTGTGCGTGCGTGTGTGTGTGTGTGCGTTTGTTACATGGATGGGGATGTACCATAGAAGCTGTATGCAGTAGCTCTGGGTAGGGATGAGAGAATGGAACTCCTATCTGCTGCAGCAATTCCTCCGATCTAGGAATGTCTTTGATGCTCCAAAGGAAATTCAGTTTTTGCTTCCTCCTCTCTTGGAGGGTTAGGGTAGCTGAAATGCAGATATCCTTGTAAAGACCGTTTTTAAAAAAATATATATATTTTTTAGGAATCTGTTAAATACAAGAGTCTATATCCCAAATATCCAATAATTGACGTTAACCAATTTCACAACGCTAACATCTTATTTCAGTTTAATCTGTGGAAATGTAGCTTACTGTACAAATGTGTGTGTAAATAAACTAGACTTCAGTTACTCTAGACTCTAGTTTCAAGTTACTGATGCCTTAAATTTCCCCAAAAAGAAAAAAGCAAGAGACTAGCTTTCCAGCCACGATTATTTAAAAAAAGTCTTCTTTCCTTCCACTCTTCAACTTCCTAAGAAGAAACAGGGAAAACAGGGCTGGCCATAGTGGGACTTTATGATGCTGTCCCGTTACAGGCTGCTTGTTTCTGATTAGTAGATTTTTCAACTCCCACAACCTTGAATTGGAAGAAATTATACTGTAACTTTAGTCTAATATTCTGTGCTAAATTTGACAATGGCTGGTTTAGCTGGGTCTTCCAGTTTATGTATTGAACTGTGGTTGTAGTAAAAATGGTTACTAAGCAACAGAAACAGCATATGTTTCTAATTATCTAGCCTTCTCAATAGTCACCTGGGAGCTGAGAAATTACGTATGTTGGCGCTTCAGTTTTCTTCTTGTCACAACCTTCTTCATGGATAATGTAACTGTAAATTGTCACCTCAAAAATACCTGTATATACTGAAATCCCCCACAACAGTTAATGAATAAATGTAATATTCTAATCTTAAAATGCATCTCCTTTGTGGGTTCTAGAAATAACAGAAATTTTTGTTTTGAGTACAATTTAGCTATAGTAGTTGTTTTGCAATCTGGAGACTTCTATGTAATTGTACTCAGTAGGAAAATTTTCTGTTTTTTAGGGCTTGATGATGATGAATGCGATCTTAAAGGTAACTGCAGTCCTCCAACTCTTCTCTCCCCCCCTCCCCCCATTAGTAGGTTGCAATGAATGGGTTAATTGTTCTTTTTTGATACATCAGGTGGGGAGACAACAGTGATTCAGGGAAATGGTGATATAGCAACAGCTGAAACACAGACTACCATGATCAATGGCTATACTTGCAGTGACTGCAGTATGCTTTCTGAACGGAAAGAGGTCCTCACAGCGTACTCTGCTTCTCACATGCCATCTTCAAGAATTTACTCGAGGGATAGAAGCCAAAAATACAAGTCTAGTAAGTGATTTTCTTCCTTTTTTTGTGGTATTGTAAATGTCTTGTTTCTTGATGTATAAAGCTACATGTATTTGGAGGGTATAAAGATGATTCCCCCTCCCCCCGCTGAATTTATCAAGACTAATTGAATTCTAAATACCAATTAGCATACATCCTATGATGAATTTTTGTTCGTATCAAGCTACGCTTCATGGAGTTGACATCTGCTGTACATCAGAAGCTGACGATATGAATTTTCCACACAGTTACAGGGAATATAAATGTGCGACATCAAAATAAAATGATACAGAATCTGGCAGAAAATAGTTCATACTTTCAAATTGATCAAGCTCATAATGTGGTGTTGTAGACAGTATTGGTTCTTAGCGGTAGATGATTTTCTTTTACACCTCATTATAACAATGAGGGTCAGGTTATCATTTTGTTATCAAATTCCGCTTTAAAACTCTTTTCCATTATAACTCACCAGTAATAGGAGCTCAAAAGAGTTAAACAAAAACAACCAAACATAATCAGCAAATTGTTGTTGTTCGTAAATATCATCCGCTCTATAGAAAGATTTTTTTAAAAAAAAAATCCCTTCTGTTTCCTTCTATAGACTCTAATTTTTATTGTGTTCTATAAGTTAGGCCCTCTTCTCAGACCTTAGATCTAACAGGGCTCTAATTGTTTCTGAGGGAGGACCCAGAATGGAAAGGCTGTGGCTTCAGCAGTTTTCCTTCTCAGTGTACAATTTCTGGAGCTTTTTCTTAAGTATGGCTGTTGGCTGCCTATATGGAGTTCTGGTTTTCCAGGCTAATCTTTGGATATTGCTCTTCTTAAGTGCCTTCCTTTGGAAAGCAGAAAGTTTGATATCCTTCACCATCCCAACGCCTCATCTGTATTCTTTGGTTGTTGGTAGTCTTCTTGAAGATCATTTTAGGAGGAAGGCATGCTCTTTTGTTGCCCTCATTTTCAGAATTTGAGGGTTGTTTCAGTTGCTATCCCTTCTGGGCCAAGGTGTGACCCTCATTTTAGCGTGTCCTGAATAGTAAGAAGTCAGTTTCTTGACACTCTTAGGGAAACTCAGGAGGATGCAAGGGAAATTATTTAGATTGTAAGCTCTGTGGGATAAGGACTGCCTCTTGCTATATGTTTGTACAATAGGACCCCAATCTTAAATAGGTTTAATAAACTTTCAATATTTAAATGGGACATTGGAGTCTAGAAATCTTTCTTTTTTAATACCATCTCTCTTCTACACAAAACTCTCACAGGGGGACTCTCACAAGATTCTCATCTGTGAGGATACTTCAGCAGTTGAAAGCAAGATAGCCAAATGCTGGTTGGCTACAAAATACCAAAGCTTTTAAGAAAGCAGGAGTACAGGGATGATTGTGCTAATTATTATTCTTTTGCATGTGCACTAAAGTGGAGGAGACGATAACCGAGGAAAAAGTCTAGTAGTAACTGCCTTGAGTACTAGAAAAGCTTTGTATTTGACTTCCATGCACTTGGAAGTATGAAGGGGGAGGAGGAGAAAACACTCTCTTCCTCCCTGCCCCCTCTTTCAACAAGAATTCAACTTAAGCCCTTTTTTGTTCTAGGTTGGGATTTTAAGATTCTAACTGTTCATGGGTTCAGCATGGAGAAATCCTGAGTTCTGAAGATAGGTAATTAATTACAATTTAAATGTTGGCAAAAGTGATTAGCTGTCTTCAAGTTTTCAATCCCATTTAACCAGGAAAGGCTTGTAACTTGAGCCTTTTGCCCTGGGAAAACAGTCACTCCAGACCATGGTTTAGGCATGCCAGCATTCCAGAAACTTTCACTGTTGTTGCTTCAGGTATACTTAGCCATAGATAAATGGTGAAGTTCAGAAGTAAGGCCTGTCAAACCAGCACAACTCACAATTGCTACACTTCCACAAATTTTGTATCCCTGGATAAGTAACTAAAATTTTAGCTATTTCTAGTTTGGTATCAACAGGTGGAAATGCAAGTAGTTAATAAATGGAGAATGAAATTGTGTAGGGAAATAATTTTGTATTCACACTTTTTTAATAGGAAACACCCCTTTCTACATGAATAAGATTCTACGATTGATCAAATATACTGCAACATCTTTTGCATCACTGTTAGTGCAACTATTTCAAATGGTTTTGCTGAACCTGGGTTATGAATTTAAAGGTACCTTTTTTAGTGGTCTTCCCTTCCTCTGTCTCCTCCAAAGCCACTACCTCAATAAAAAGCCCTGTGCTTTTTTTCTTATGTGGCTTTTCATCCATTTCACCTGCTGCACCATGGTGTCTTCCATAGTAATTTGGCTGGTTTCTCTTATGCTCACTTGCACCTTTTTTTTTCCTTGGGAAGTGTCCATATACAGGTATATGGTAACTGTGTGGTTTTTTTCTGTTTGGTCTTCTTTTCTTCCCAGGAAATTGCATGGGCAGGGGGAGGTCGGGGGGGTTGACACTGCCACACTGTAATTTTTTCAGTGTTTTCAAAATGCAGTTTTCTTGCTTCCTCTAGACTTGAGCTTCATGTTCCTAAATCTAAGTTTGTTTTAGTTCTGCAAGGTTAAGTCTCCTCATTAACACTTTCTCTGCAGGCTGTTCTGCTGTTTGTAATGTGGTGCTTATTGCCTGTCCCTCGGGGTATGTCTACATAGTAACTAGACACTGGTATCAGGCCCATGCTAGCCAACTCGGGCTCCCTGTGAGGTGGGAGGGTCCGGGCTCCAAGTGAGGTGGGATGGTCCAGGCTCCAGCCCAAGCCCAGAAGTCTACACGGCAATGAAATAGTCCCGCAAACCCAAGTTGGCTGGCACGAGCCAGACGTAGGTGTCGAGTTGCTGTGTAGTTATACCCTCAGAGTAAATCTTCTAACTATTATGTTAAAGTTGACAGAAAATAACTGTATCCTTCATGCTCAGCTGAAAGGGATTCCTCATCTTCCTCCCACTCCTTCAGTAATGCTTTTTCTGCCTTTCTGATATCGGGAATGTCTGGTCTCTCCTGGATTCTCCACTAAAACCAGGGAAGTGGTGTAGCACTTGGTCCGCAACTGAAAGGATGGGGGTGTTCAACAGTGTTGGTTTTTTGAGTAGAGTATTGGAACTAAATAGGTGTAAAGCAGTTCTGAACACAGATTTAAAAATAACTGCTCCTCCTGTCGCATCCTCAAGTAATCCATGTTTCAGTTGCTACCTGGTGAGGCTTGAACTAATTCTCCATTGCCAATAGTGTGTTCCACGAAAAATTGTAGACCGCTAGATCTGAATTTGAGATTTTTTTCATTAGAAATTCAGATCTTATCTAATCAAGCTTTCCTGGAAGGTGCTACAGACAAACGGAGAACTGGTAAGTTTGACTTCCCAGGTACCAAGCAAGTAGAACTCAAAATTAAGCATTCAGTTAAAAACTGCTTCCCCAAATAATTAACTGGGGGGAGTGTGTGGTGACAAATTCTGTGAGCCTTGAATCTCCCCCAAGGCGCGGTGCGGCTGGGATTGTGCAGATTTCACTCACTCAGACCATGGGGACAGGAGCCCTTTGGTCAGCCGATCCCCGGATGGAGACGGCGCCCAGACTCAAACACACCACAGGAGGACGGATAGACACAGAGACAAGACAGTCCTCAGTCCGGACAAAACACAGAAATAATTACCTGACCAGATTCCTGATGTCAGATCCTGGGATCCCTACCAGAACAGAGTGGGAACCAACAGGTTCGATGGCGTAGACTTCACTGTGGTCATGCACCCTTCCGTTCTGGCGGAGGACCCTCAGGCCAAATGCCCAGGTGCCAGCTTGCCACGGCCATGCTAAGAACGGTCAGGAGTCACACAGCCCCAGTGAAGAAGGTTGCCATCTCGGTGGAACCTCCAAATTGTCAAAGTCAGATTCAAGGCTCACAGAATTTGTCAGACCACTCTGTTTATTAGCAAAGCGCTTTTCCAGTGCACCCAGATATGTGAGCCCTCTGCAGAAGCTCAAGCTAACTTATTTATACAGATAAGCCAAAGCCAATTTAACATAAGAGACAAAAGGAAGCAGAAACTGACAAATATACATACATATCTTATTTGCATACTAACATTTACCAATCTCCTAGCTCAGTAGGAGCTCTAAGTTAATTAGTTTGAGGACCCATTGTCTCACACTCCTTAATGTTTCTCTTCCTGACAACTGTATTTCAACAAACCCACCAGATGCATTTCTTTAATGAATTATAATTTCAGTATAATTCATTCTATTTTCACAGTGGTATGTGAGTTAAACACCTATTTAACAGTTGCACTGTTTCAGATGCAGCCTTCAGTTAGGGGGCAAGTACCCAATTGACTTCCAAGAAGACCACAGCAAAACCAGGAAAGAGTAGACTAGACTTAGTTAATATTTGTAAGGCAAAAAACAAGAAGGAAAAAGGTTTGACCCACAGGGTAGAGGGGCTTCCTTTAGACATCATAAAGTTGCAAAAAATGTACACATGCATGCCCTCTGCAAGTCACCTTACACACCAAATACCTTTTTAAGGTCTCCTGTAGGTGGCTTGGCTTTATAACTAAATAAATCAGGTCAGTTTACTTGTTAAGCTAGCTATCTGAAGTTTTGGACTCCAGAGAGTTAAATTCTATACCCTCTTTCTGCATGTATTGCAGCTCACTCGAATTACTGTGGAAGTATGAATGTAAAAGACTTTCTCAAAGAGGATGGCCATCTTGGTATAAATGGGGAATCCTTGTGTAAGTATGGTTGGGTTGTTTTTTTTTTGTTTGTTTGTTTTCTCTTTTCTGTCTTTTAGCTTTGGGTTGGAGTCCTGGATGTCACAGTGACATCTAGATGATATGAAACAACTCTATAGAAGTTGTATACCTGAACAGTAGTTTTGTGTTTTTTAATTTAGATGCTAAGTATTAACACACAAGTGTATTGCTGCAACATTTTCTATAGGAGCAAATATCTGTGGGATTTTGTCTTGTTAATCTTTCTTACCTACCTTAGTTCTTGGTTTTGGAAAATGATACTGTGACGTAACTGGAACATGTCTGTCTTGTTAGTAGTTTTATTGGTTAACTTGTCACTATTAATTGATTGTTACCATAACCAACAGGTGATGACTGTAAGGGGAAGAAACATCTTGAAACATACACAACAGTCCACATGCAATCCTCAAGGTCTAAAAGGGTAGCAAGGACCATTTGGCACACCTTTTCTTATGCAGGTTGACTTGCACTTTTTTTTTTCATTTGCTTTTATTTTACATCACAACCTCACAAATGTTAATCACTCCTACTGCTTTGTGTTTTTAGTTGAACTGTAATTTTCAAAATAGATTAGGCTGAATTAACTGTAAAAATGTTCTGGAAGAATAGTTACATGGAATCTCTTCTACTCCATGTGTTACTTGCTACAATATTAGACTCACTGATTAGATTAAGGAGGAGCTTGGCAGATATAATAGTCTGTTTACATATGGCACAATTGCTATGAAAGGAAGTTATAGTAATTTATTACCATATGATGTGTATTTTAAAGTATTAAATACAAAGCAAAAGTTTTTGTTTTGTTTTTTGTGTTTAAGCTATACTTTACGTAAGTGTATATTTCTGGAAGGACGGAAAACAGGATTTAAAGAGAAAAGGGACATTAAGATAACTCCTATATAGGGTATTTTATTATTTTGTACCCTGATTTTATTTTTATACCCTGATTTTTATTTATTTATTACAAGACTCTCTCATGTAGTTAGTATACTATCTATCCTATGAAATGGATCTACTAATGCTTGAATTAGGCACAGGCATCAAGATGCTTTAGAGCTATTTGCTGTCAATCTATTTTCATGCAGCAAAGAAGAATAGTGTGAGACATTTCTTCAGTCACCTAACTGGTTTTATAAAATACTGAGCTGTAACGTTTGGTGCCCCTCAGAGACTGAGCAGCACATCCTCTGCTAATCTAAAGTTTAGAATTCCTCTAAATTTATTTGTGGTGGTCTAGTTCTATAGAACAACAACAACAAATCTACACTTAGTGTCAGAGTCAAAGGCCATTAATCTTTCCATTGACTTCAGTGGGCTTTGGGTTAGGCCTTTGAAAAACCAACTGACACAGTCATACCATAAAACATGCAGCTGAATTTAATTATAAAAATGAACAATAATTTACCTAATTACTTGTAATTTTACTTTCAGTAAGGCATATTCTTTTCTTATTCTTATGCTTCTCAATATCTCCTCTTGTTAATGATATTATGGTCAATATTTTTTAAATAACGATCTTGAAGAATTAATTCTTGAAGTTTTAAATGTTCCAGAAACTTGCAGCGTACACTTGAAGACAAAACCAAGAAACTTTGAAAGGGTTGCCTGACTAAATATGCACTTGTGTTATAATAAAGAGCGGATGGTTGAAGGGTATTAATTAGGACATTTTTCTGACAGACTATTGTACCATAAAACATAGGCTCTTTATATTCTGAAAAGATGGTATTTTAATTACCCAGATGATAAAATCTGGATGTTGAACTGTCTATGTACTAGCATATTGTCTTTTTCCTTTTAATGGTGTTAGCGCCACTTATGTCCATATTTTCTTATTAGCAGTAATACTCATTTTGTGTATAATGTTTTTAAAAGTTTACAAACTACTGGAGGATATACACTAAAATTATACTATATGTAATTCTCGTAACTTCAGAAGCTAAAGAATCTCTCTACTCTACTGCTTTTATTGTAAACGATAGGTCAGGTTGTCTGTATATACATTACATATATATAGTTCATTTGTTATACACCAGGTTACTTTGTGCTACAAGTGTTGCAAACAGTGGGAGCAACAGGATGGTTTATGTCTCAGAAGATGTTATCACTACTTTGGCTGGCCATTGTTTCTCCAGGTTACTATCTTGATCTCTGGTTTTGTGCTTTTGCATGTGTTCTGCCTCTGCTGGCAAACTAGGAGTCTACACTATGTGATTGCCTCACTGATGCTGACTCAACTGTGCTTTGGATGGTACTTTACTGTTTGTAAAGGCTAAACTGTACAGTGACAAGATATATCTGTGTTCACAAATTCAATGGGAGATTAACAAGGCTGCTTCATATGAAAGGCAACATGTCTAATGGTTAGAGCAGACAAGGGGGGGATGAGGAAAACTGGGCCCTGTTTGATTCTCCCATTAACTCCCCATGGCTTTAGGAAACTTTCTTAATCTTTCAGTGCCACGGTATCCCTATAATCAAAAATAATATAATGCCTTTTTGAAGCTCATAGAGGCTTTTAGTTGAAAGGGGTTACCCAAGTGCAAAGCATGATTAAACGTAGCTGAACGGGTGTTGTGTTTTAACCTTATGAAATTTAGTTATTGCTTTACTAAACAAATTTCATCTTCTTGCATGGTGGCTTTTTGTGCTGAGTAGTTAATAATGCGTTGCAATACATAGCTGTGATATAAATTTAGATGAAAACAAGTTGCATGTGTTTCCTTTCACCATCCACCCCAACAATCTGTTTGTTGCACAAAACATTTTCTGCCATATTTGCATGTGCTTCTGCTTGGTCTCCCTTAGTATATATTCTGTAACAATTACATTTTTAGTTCATTGAATACATCCTTTCTCTTATAGGGAAGGCAGCTTCTGGGGTATTCTGGTGGCTTGGAACTGGATGGTATCAACTTGTTACTCTGATTTCTTTGTTCAATGTGTTTCTTCTTACAAGGTTTGTGAATTTATTTTTTAAACAGAATTTTCTTCCCTGAGTTACAGACTTGTTAGATTTGTGCTGTAAGAGTTGTGATTAAAATGCATGAAATTATCCTAGTTGAAGAATACAAGTGTAATGTCTGTGACAAAAGGAGAAAGCAAACTGTGTGTGTGTGTAAACACAGGAGGGAGAGGAAAATCTTTGCTATTTAGCAATTCTGTCTTTCTGAGGAATGAATCTGTTTATAGCTTTAGAATCATATACACTTCAGCAAAAAAGGAAAAAGGTGATCTGACAATATTCATTAATATTCTAAGAATGGGGGGACACATGTATGTCAGTATCTGTAATATGCCTTTCTAAATCAAAGTTGCTGCACATCTTTCTGTACAGAGCATACTGTATATTTTCATTTTAAATATGAGGTACTGGGTGAAGCGATTAAACAGCTACATAGCAAATAGTAAAAATTGTCAGACTAGTTACACAGGTCTGTTGTCCACCTTAACAGATTAAGAAATAACCATAATGAATTTGTCAAAGAAGTATACTTCAGTACTTTTCAGATGCATAATCTGTGTGTAATATGCACTAGAGGAAAAAGCGTGATATTTCTATGTAGCCAAAACTTAAGCTAGATCAATCTAAGATGTGAATAGGGCAGTGTATTTCCATATGCTGTTGAATTCTAAACAACGTGAAGACACTTCACTGTAATGTAAGACACTTCACTTCACTGTAATGTAAACTGAACTAACCTCTGTCATGAGATGCCATTATTTATACTCTTATGCGGTCTATTATACTATATGAGTTGGAGTCTGCTTTTTCCTGTACATGAGTAACTTCCATTCCACTAACACCTATGGACATAAATATGTATTTACAATGAAGAAAATAGAAACCCACATACCAAAGTGTGTGTGTGTACAGCTTTGTAAGCCTGACTCTCTCGTTCTAAGATGCTATATAGATTTGGTCATGTCAGGTTCAATATTTAGGTACAAAACAAAATTACTGAATGTAGTACCACTGTGTAAAATAAGTTTTGTATTTTTCTTTTCTCCAGCATGTTCTTGGGGGGCAGGGGGGAAGTAACTATTTGGGCAAGATACCATTGCTGACGTCATAAAATATCAGCATTTTTTGTGATACAATCCACAGAATTGAGCTCTAAGTGTTTAAAATTGAACCTCATGTTTAGGTTTATTTCATGCTAATGCCTCAACCAATTATAGAGCACAGTTAAAAATGATAGACCCATTCTTTGTCTAATTAAAAGTTAAATTTATTTCTCTGTTTCTAGATGCCTTCCAAAGATTTACAGGTTGTTACTGTTTCTCATCCCACTGCTGTTTTTGCTAGGTATGTGAAGTATTTGTTGTTAGTGCAAACTGGTCAATAGTTATTACAAATGTATCAAACTAGCATTTTTAGGTGAACTTGATGTTTATGAAAGATGTCCAGCTAACAGCACAGGAGACTGAAGTTCTGTTTGCTGACAGCAGCAATTCAAGTTTAGATTGCCCTGCCAGTGTGCTTTCCATCTGACATGGAAAGAATATCCCTGGTTGTGAAAAGGCAGTTCAGTTTCTGTGCCCCTTCAATATGTAGACCATCTCTGAGGGGGACTACAGGACAACCCGTTCATGACCAGGAACTGGAATGAGCCCATTAAGACATTTCACATAGATTACCTGTTGATGTTTTGTTAAATAAGTCTAATTGCATTATTATTGGCAGTGCTTATAATCAACAGTTACAGTGGCCCAACATTTTTCTATTTTTCAGTCTTTCTGGTTGTTGTAACTCTCTCTAACTTAAACATTTTGGGCAGAATATTCCATGCCAGATGTCTGCCCACAGATGAAATTTTTTTATTAAGTTTCACCTAAAATGATTCAGTCATATCTGAGAACGAGGCTAAGGAAAATTGCTCCTCACCAAAAAAATCTTTTGTTGTCTCTAGTGTCGCAATTCTTTGGAGCAGGGACTTATATGCTGCCAGAGGGATTGCTTTAGTGGTGGGATAATACTGCCTAATCTCATGGGTATTGTGAAGATAAGTGCTTTAATGTTTGTAAAGCATTAAGAGACTACCATGGAAACCCCATAGAAAAACTCCTAAGGAAATTAGTAATTCTGTATTCAGTGCAGAATCTGGATGGTGTGCAACAAATAAGATAATGGGCCACACATAGAACAATGAGGATAAAGAAGAAATATTGGCATGTGCCATTCAGTGAGTTAAATGTATCTTGTGCACTAACTGAGCCATGGGAAGTTATGTGATCATGTGAGGATTGTATCATAATGCATACACGTAAGAAGTCTGAATTAAGGTTGCACAAGCAACCTTAACTCTGGCATTTCCTAACCTTTGAGTGCTTAGTTTGCAACCTTAACACCCTTAAACATAGTTTGTTTGTTTTTAAATCTAGTTTTGTTTAGACTTTGGTAGTGCCCACAATGTGAAGTGCACTTTCCAAACACATAACATAGCTTCTGTCCTGAAGTAACTGCTTTAAAGTATTAACCCAAATGATCATAAAATCTGAGATTGCACCTCTTCTTAAAAACAATTTTTGCTTTTGTTTTTCTTTGATCTTCTTGCCTAAGGTATATGGTACTGGGGCTTTGAAGGCTTCCTTTCATTACTGCCTGCATTCAATTGGACAAACATACGTCAAACACAAAGAATAGATGAGCCTCTGCAGATTCTTAAACCACATCCTGATTCTTCTCACTATGTTCAGCCTCCAGAGGTAAAATACTTAGTATATTTCTTAAAGGCATGTTCTAACTCTTGGCTACTGGATTTTTCCAATAACTAAACTGTAATTCAAGAATAATGGAGTAAATGGGCTTACTTAATTCTTTTATATATAAATCTTCACATTTTAGGGTCCCATACAGTTATTTGATTCTAGTCGTATGAGTGAACTGGAAAAGCAAATGGCCTTCATGTCTGACAGATGTCATCACAATGATGAAGAATATGGCAAAGTGATGCTACAGCTTGAGAAGCTTCAGGATCAGGTTGCCCAGATGAATGACAAAAGTGAGATGTTGATACTAATAAAAAATGTAATGGGCCAACATCTTAAGGAAATGCAATCTGAGGAAATGGCACGTTCAACGGTAAAGATAAAATAAGTGTTTCTGATGGTTTCTTAATTAGCGTACTAACCCTAGTGCATATTTACCATCCAAATTATATGTAAGATTTTTTACGTTGTATTTAAGAGCCTATGTTAAAATTACTAGAGGTAGTTGAAGCTGAGAATGAGAATTTGAGTGTAGCTGGAGTGTGAAATTACTTAACTGCTTATTTCCTTTGTTTTTTAAGGCCTACATCAGTGCAGTAGTCTAGCAACTTTTAATTATAAGTTGTTATACTTCTTGTGTTGAGTTATAAATCAGAATATTTGCATTTTCAGCCATCCCCTTCTCCAGTCTAATGTATACCCCCTTGCAGTCAATGCACTTATTTGTGTTGATGCTTTAATAAATCATTCGTAAAACAGGGAGTACTCGCGTACCAATCCTTGAAGCGTTTGAAACTAACTTCCAGTTTTTCTTTTTTTAACCAACAAAAAAGGCTGTGGATGGTAGCCCAATATCATGACCTGCCATGTACCAGATCTAGGGCTTTCAGCAACTCCTGAATCTTGCTCTTTAGGCAAGAGGCACTAAAACAGATGCTGGATGTCTTTAGGATGTGAGGAAGGGGGAAGAGAGAGAGCTCTGTTTAACTTGCACTACCTAACTTTTGTAACAAAAATAGTAATTATAACATAAGTGTAAAATTATGGCACCGGAAATAAGAAAGAAGGCCACAATTGGATGATAGGGTTTGTCACTTATGAAAAGTCAAATGCTTAGAGTAGGCTGTATTTGTAAACACGTTTTATACTTTTCATTCTGAATATAAATGTGTATAAACCTTTTGATGCTAGGGACAGTATTTATTATAGCGTACTACTAATAAATTTCTTTCCTTCAACTCTTTCTTCCACTCTGACCCTCTGTTAATATCAGAAGGTGATGGATTGAATTTCCTATAATGCCTAAGTTATTTAGGATCATTAATTTAATTGACTTTCAGTGGGATTTGAGCTCCTAAATCAGTGGTTCTCAACCTATTTACCATTGTGGGCTGCATAGGCAGCTCTCTGTTATGTGGGCCACATCTATACAATATATATTACCTGTATGGCTGTGAGGCTGTCACGTGGGCTGCAGCTGTGTGCTGATTGGGCTGCAAGTGGCCCGTGGGTTGAGAATCACTGTCCTAAATCTTTAGGAAAAGTCTCATCTAACGTTTCATGTTACAGTTAACTTTCAGTACAAAACCAGAAACACTACAGGAAACAAGTTGGGTAGGCTACTAAGTAATAGCCTACATAAGAGTTCAAATCTTAATCTGACAAACTGTGTTTTTCCACAAAAAGTGCTTTTACTAGCCCATATGCCCTTTAATTAATTGGCTGCCCAATTTGGTATTAGGCTCTAGCTTTGGTGCTAGCATCTGGAACTCAAGATTTCTGCTGATATTGCCCCACCAACTGGCAAGCAGTAAGCATCATGTAGTTTTGTCAGCAGTACTGCCTGCCCCCTTCTCGTGTTCTTGATCTCATAGGGCTATCTCCAAATGGCTAGTCTAATGTAGCACAGCTTGGCATCAAAAATCAATTGGACTTAAGCATTTTTCAAACATATTTAATCCTTGGTTTGTATGCACAAAGTATCTGGCATGATCACAACATGAAAGTAATGATTTTACTAAAGATATTAACAGCAGTTTGACTATTTTTGTTCTCAGTAAGTCGAACATTTTTTTCCTGTTTTTAAGACTGATCTTCTGGCTTTACACCAAGAACATGAATTGCGCATTTTGACACTGGAAGACTTTATTGGAAAACTTTCTGCAAAATCTGAGGTACTGAAAGGCTCTTGCCTTCCTACCTACATATAGTGAGTCCAAAGCATAGCCACTTTACAAATTAAATGGAGTAAACTTCAGTCTATAGAAATGTTGCTTAGTAAACTTTTCCCAATATCTATCTTGTACCACTCCAGTTATCAAGTTTAAGTCTGCAGTGCCCAAACTTTCTTTAAAATTGCCGCCTCTTGTTTCTGGAGAGGCTGAAGACACAGGTTTCTGTCTGCAGGTGCAGGAAGCTGAAATTGTTTCATGTTTGCACATCTAAAGTGGCTGTCAAAGTAAAAACATTTTAAAAAACCCTCAAATAACTGAATTCAGATTTTTAAAACTGGTATTCATTTTAATGCAGCAGGTTCACAAGTAAAATTGTTTGGTCCTACTGCCTTTCACTTGCTCTGGAAAATGAAACTTGAATGGTCAGCCCCACTCTAAGGGGTTGACTACACTTGTGAGTTAGAGCGCATTAAAACAGCCCCTTGGCGCCCTAGCTCGCTACCCGTCCACACTGGCAAGGCACGTAGAGCGCTGACATGCTCTCAGCCCCCCTCCCCCCCCACATCACTCCTCCTTCCCCCATTTGAAAAGCACGTTGCAGCCACTTGCATGCTCAGATAGCTACCACAATGGACTGCTCTCTGTGGCCGTTGCAAGAGCTGCTAATGTGGCCACGCCAGTGTGCTTGTAGCTGTCAGTGTGGACAGATTGCAGTGCTTTCCCTACTGTGCTCTACGAAGGCTGGTTTAACTCAAAGCGCTCTACATCTCCAAGTGTAGCCATGCCCTAAGGAGCTTGTCTTCACTGCAACAGTTAGCTTGAGTACACTCCAGTGAGGGCAACCTCTCTTCAGAACAACCCTCGGGAGTTACACAGGGTGATTTGATTATCAGCACAGAATGACTGGATTAGCAGAGTGACTGGATTAGCTTCTGAGGAGTTATTTAAAATGTTGCATTCCCACTGTGTTACTAGCTTGAGGATCAGCATCGCTCAAGCTTCAGCCCACCCCCAACAGGCCAGCCAGCTTGCTTAAAGCACTATTTAACTCAAATTAAAGATTTTTTTGTATGTGGACAGGAGTTGAGTTAGGGGTAACACTTGAGTTATAACTTGAGCGAACTGTGATGTGAAGACACAGCCTAATTCTTTCATTAGCATAATACATTTATTTAACTTCCACAAGGCTGAAGCAGAAAATGTCTCAGATTCCGTGACTTCTGTGACCTAATCTTAGCCTTACTTATAAGTACAGGTCTCTTTGTATTGGCACAGGCTGGACTAGTGCCAAAACCTGTTTGAGGTCCTAGTATCTGGTGCTTTGTTTTCTGTGCTGTATGAGCAAGAGTTCTGAGATCTCTCTTGCATGTTCCTGAAAGTTTCATACCTAGGATCAGTACTGGTGTCCCCAAATGTAGATCTCTATGTGAATGCTGCTTCACCCAATACAGGGATGGGAGCAGATATCTCTGGAGATCTTTCACCTCATTTACGTCCTTCCCCTTCCAAAGCCACACTTACAGGTAACTGTCCTGTAACAAAGGAGAGCCCAACATCTTAGATTAGCTATGTGGGATCTTTGCAGAGTAGTACCTAATGATTTGTACTCCCATTCCCTCATACAGGGAAGAAAACATTTAAGTCCCTGCCAACTAGAGATCCAAACCTAGGAATCTCTCTCTGATCCCTTTCATGGCAGCTTGTGCCAATGAACTGGGCCACTGCGTTTTTAATAGTCCTATTGATCTGTACTAGCTGTCTTTTTGGTGAGGGGTGGGTTTTTTTTTTTGTTTTTTTTAAGCTACAGATCACTCTTCATCAGATTCTGATCAATAAAGCAGGTAATTTGGAATAGAATGATTTATACAAATGCATGTACAGAAACATTAAACTAAATTATTTAGGAATGTAATCTTTTATGGGTGCTGACCAAGCATGTCCTCTTCATGTGGCAATTATCCTTATTTGCAATCTTGAAGTTAAAGAATGCACTTCTCAAAACAGATTTTTCATATCTATCAGGACATCCAGAAGGAACTTGAACTAACCCAAACAAGAACAGTGAGGTATGACTACTGTCTATGTCTAATATGTTGCATTTTGAATCCTGATACTAATTGATGGTGGTAGGAATCGTTCACTGAACTACAATGGTAACTATCCTTTTCTAATGCCTGTTGTGTATCAGTTGAGTGGTTTTTAAAGTTTTGTTGAAGTGTTTGTCAGCATGAGTGTTACCTTTTTATAATAGGTTTTGGTGGAGATTCTAGACATCCGTGCAAGAAGACCAGCTCTGAACTCTGAACAGTCCCATATCCTACCCCCAATATCTGACCATTATTTAAGCACCTTATTTCTCTAGAACGGTATGAGGCATAAATTCACTACCACTCTAAGAGGGTGAGTGGGGCTGGCCAGAAAAAAATAATTGTATTTGGCAGAAAAAATCTGAGGTTTTGGCATTTGGTTTCATTCTGCATTGGGACGAAGCCACGGCCTTTGGAAAAAAAATAAGACCCTGACCAACCTCTCCAAAATCTCTTCTGTTGAAGCCTTTCCACTCTGTATGAATAATATTGAGGCAAAGAGAGACTGACTGTAAAGCAGTGGTTTGGACACTAACCTGTGATGTGGGAAACCCATATACGAGTCCCTGTTCTGAATCAGGAAGAATAGGAACTTGAAGCTGAGGAGCCAACATCCTAGATGAGTGTCTAAACCACTAGGGTACTGACTAATGTGGGGTGGGTGTCTCTTGTTTTTTGGCTAGAATTTCCATCCTAGATCTGAGAAGTTTTTCCTGACAAAAATTTTGTGAAAATTAACACATTTCCACAAAAAGCTTCGGTTTTGAGTAATTGGCATTTTCCGACAAACATCTTAACAAAAAATTCCTGACAGCTCCCAAGAGTGAAGATTTTTGGAATTTCCTCAGAGGCCACTTACTAAGTGTTAAGCAGTATGATTAAAGAAAATGTGCTGAGACCAGTTCTGATTCCAAGGGACTCACGTAAATTCAATCTGTGTACCATCTTAATTTCATCTACATTCAGTTTGTCAATCATCTTAATTTCTATTTTTGAATCACATGCTACTAGGACAGAGCAGCATTTTTCTCAAAGACACAACTAGTTTGAGAAGAAGTGTAGCCGGATTTAGGGTGTCCTAATAATATTAATTTATCAATTAATTTTTTATTTTATTTAATTGAATTCAAATAATATTAATAATAATGATTAATACTATGGGTTTTAGACTCACCAGTCTGTTTGATCAGAAGATAAAAGTTATTGTCCCAAATCAGGCTCCACAGAATTTACAAAGGACCCTCAGGGGTATGATAGGAAGCTCACATTGAGACAAATATATTTGTAAAGACTTTTTATTAAAATCAGTGAAATAGTAATTCAGTGGTAAAATAATCAGAGTTACAAAGTTACAATTGCATTACTGCTATTCAAAAGATACATATGATATAGTATTATATGCAACAAAGCTTTGGTTAATATACTCACACCCTTCCTCAATAACCTGGTGGTAAGAGACACAGGACCTGCCTTGTGGTTCAGTTTTTTCAGTTCTTTAGTGTGAGATGCAGTGCTTAGAAGAAACTAATACTAAGAGCTATCAAAACTAACTTAGGGTTTACTTGACTAACTTAAACTCAAAACCTAATAAACAAATTAAGAATAAAACTTAGGGAGACCAAGCTTAGCCTAGTTCCCTTGAAACTTAAAGTTTAAGAAGAACAAGTATAGCCTACTAATAGTAGTAGTCATAGTAGATAGAATAGAGTGAGTGTAAGTAAGACAGAGTAAGTGAGAATACTCTAGCGAGGTGGGTTACCGCTTTTATAGGTCACAAGTGCCGGAAATCCTTCCTCCTATGCCCAAATTTCATTCCTCACCCACAAAATGTTAGGTTAAGCTTACTCCATAGGCTAGTATGTTTGTGCGTATTGATGACCCGTATATTTGCATATAAGTTTTCTTGTGGTGTACCTATTAAGTCTGTGGGTACAACACTGAAAAACCCCCTATGCCATTCTTCCATTGTCTGTTGGTCTAGATAAAAGGTCCAAGACACATGTGTGGATACTTATCTATTTAGGTAACAAGATATAGGTCAACTTTGCCTTCTGGGTAAAAGGTTTTAATATCGATATGCTAACTTTGCCTAAGCTTAACATACAGGATGTGGCCTGTAGGTCTCTTGCATTACAGCCAAACTTACTTTAATATAAATCCATAAACCTATTGTAATAAACCAAATACTGAAACTATAAGAAAAGATAGAGAGAGAGAGAGGGAGATGCAAGTAAGTAAGCAAGCAGGTTAGTCCTATAGGCTACAGAAATGGTGTGTTAGATCTGACTGTACATCATTTTAAATAATAATTCAACTAATAAAATAGCTTTAAAATGATATAGTTGATCAATTTTCCCTTATCATATAATTCCCATTGATTTTGTATTGTTTTGAAATACTTCTTGGAGGCCTGACTTAGCCATACTATAATTTAGACCCTGAGTTTTAAACTAGTTAATGGAGATCAAATACTGTATACTCCACTAAAATGATATGGCAAATTCATGTAAAAAGACATCAACTCTGGTTCTATAGAAACCTTACAGAATCCCACAAACCTACCTATGTCCTAATATTGCATTACCAACTAAGTAAAATCCCATAGAGATATAATTCAAGTTTGGATCAACACTTCAGAATATATTGATTTAAAACAGATATTTAGTATGACTATCTTTAAACAAATACATATTAATTTGAAAGGTCATGCATTACTAGGGTCACAAAGTCTATTTTTGGTTTTACCGTGAAGTTGTTCACGCTATGTATTAGACAAAAGGCTTATTCTGTCAAATATTTGATTGAATTTTAAGTTGTGTGATTTGTTCTGACCTCTTGCTCTTAAATTATGACTTTTTTCGGGTTTACCAGTGGAAGTGATGAGCAAAACCAGCACCTTTTATCCAAGGTTAAACAACTAGAACTAGAGTTGGCTCACATGAAATCAGAACTGTTAACTCCACAAGACTTGAAGACCAGCTGTGAGAAAGTAGATACAATTCATGAAAAGGTAAGTTCTACAGTTTTATCACTATAAAACTCTTGCAATTTTCAGTGGAGTCTCCACAGGAAATATACTCCATATTTGTTTGATTGCACTGAATAAAACACTTTAAAAAGACAACGGTATGCTAATTTTAACAGTAATACTGATTTTTGAGGTAGCAAGTACTAATCTTACTAGACCCTTATACATAACAAGGGATAAACCTAAATCTTAAATGGAACTAAAAGCACAGAGAGTAAATATATTACACTGGTTTTGTGTATAGTGTATATACTCTAATGCAGTAATTGGTATATGGTTTTGTGTGTCCAGCTAATTTGTACAAATACAGAAATGCAATAAAATATGGTTGTAAAGCAATAGTTCAACTGAATTGGTTTAAGTAATGTACAAATATAGCACCTCTTTCTTCAGTTGCAGCATTAAATCTGTAATTGTAAATTGGAACAACATGAGAGAACTGACATCAGGGGGTAATGTGGATTTGTGATGTCTATTCCATAGTTATTAAAAGGCCATTAAATACTTACTCATTTGGTCGCTCTCAAGCACATGACCTCCTTCATCAGAATCTAGGCTCCTATTCCATTGACAGTGGAGTTCATCTCGAAATAATTGATATAACATTGGAAGTGTTAAAAACTTATCTGGCTACTTATGAGATATAAAATTGAAGAACATCTGGTTAATGCACCTGTGAACCCACACTTGTGAAATATTCATCAATCTTCATATGTGTTCTTGTTGAAGTCAAGCCCTGTATTTCAGAAAAAACATTTCAGCCTGGCTGCATGCACGTAGCACTTCCTTTTTGTTGGCCTTTATGGTACCTCCTTTAAGGAATCCTAGCGGCCAGCATAAAAGATTATAAAGTGTATCTGAGCCCTGAAGATGTAAATTGCACATAGTTTGCTAGCAATTTGTAAGACCTTTATTTCACTGCCAGATCAAGTGACCAGTTTGGATCTCCTTAGCTTTTTGAGTTGTTAAGCAATCTGGATTTCATATAGATGTGTAGAGTTTTTTCTCTCAAGATGATCAAACAGCTTTAGCAACAAAATACAACCTACAATACATAACTTGTCTCCGGGTTTAATGCACAGTTCCTGAAATGGTTTCTTGCGGTAACTTAGCCTGACTCTCTCTACTTATCATGTTAAAAGGGGAAGGTGGGAATTCTTTATTCACAGACTTCCATATTTCGTTTGTGTAATTCAGTGTTATGTTTTTTTGTTCTCGATATTTTTACCTCAGACCATTTACTAAACTATTAATCTGTTTCTTCCGATTTAAGGACCTTTTCACATTTATATCTTGCACTGTTAATTCCAGAGGGGTGCGGGGGGTAGTGGTGGTGGTGGTTTCAGTCGGAGTACAGGAAGATGGTAATATTTGTGGAGCAGAGAGGGCTGATTAGATGGCAGTATTTTCTCATATCTGTTTGATCCAATTTATGGTTCTGCATGTAGAAAAAGGGTCTAGTATATTCTTTTTGTTTGTCATTTCAGGTAATTTTGATGATTTATTTTGATAGGTCATTCTGTGTGTATCTTAATTTGTCTGCCAACTTCTTTTGTGAAAAGGAATGTCTTTCACATATTCTCTGGCTACGTATTTACCCAGCCTCTGAATAGCTTCTTGAGGTCCTCAGTAACTCCATCTACTTATTGGGATTAAAATAAGGTGACAAATGTAGTGATGTTGTGAAGTATTCTTTTGTCAACTTAATCTTAACTGAGATCACCATGTCAGATGTGCTTGCAGTACTGAATAATGGTGAGGCGCGCACACACAAGAAACTGACATTGATATAACGAGAAAAGTTTAACATAACTAATGCCTTGCCAAACTACTGCCAAAGTTAGGGTGTGTGTTAGACTCTTTTAGGTTCTTCTCTCCCCATCCCACCAGTTGTTCCAAGAGTTCATCTCCTGTGTTACAAGATTCCTCTCCCACCCGCTACGCGAAGGCATGCTATGCCAATGGATGAGTTTTTACTGAAGTGCTTTACAAACATGGAGATATATGAAAGCTACATTTATTTGCAGCTCTGAAAAACTTAAGGATTTTAAGCGTACCGGTTACACAACTGTTCATTTTATGACTTCAAATGATTTGAGGATTAAATTATTTTGAAAGAGTATCCAAATAGTAACTGTTACTTATTGATGGATTTTACTAGGTAGATGCCCAGGTCAAAGAATCTGTCAAACTTATGTTTTTTGGTGACCGACAAGAAGACTTTTCTGAATCACTACTCCAATGGCTAACATCCAAATTTGTGAGCAAGAGCGATCTGCAGGTTTTGTTACAAGATCTAGAGCTGCAAATCCTCAAGAATATTACTCTCCACATGTCTATTACAAACCAAAAGCCAACCTCTGAAGTAGTAACAAGTACAGTAAATAATGCAGTGATTTCTGGCATCACAGAAGCGGTAAGCATTCTAAAATAAACGTTGAAAAGTTTGGTTCATAAGTTGATAGCTATTGTTACTTAGGGTAAAAATTGTTTTTAAAGGATTTTATTACAGTACATAGTTTGTCATGTCTAAATATAACAAGTTAATGAAATTGGTTTCAGATAGGAAATTTGAGGGAGATAGTTTAGAAGTTTAATGGCAGTTAAGAAAAATCTAAAATGCATTGAAATTGTGCTTCATATAATATCTAAAGAGCTGTCAAAGATTTCACTTCGGTTTTCCACTGTTTCAGTAGCAGTTTAAGTAAAATCTTATAGCTTTCGATTGTGGACAGCACTGTTTGGGTGCACGTGTTGCCCAAAAATAACGTCCTTATATATTTTTTTGTGGTGATACAACTTCGGCCTGGTCTAAACTACAAAGTTAGGTCGATGTAAGTCACTTTGCATCAGCCAATTTGCATCTATGCCCAAATTTTTCTCCAGCTGATGTAAATGCTCTGTTAAAATGATGCCATAAATCCACCTCCATGAATGGCATTGAGCCACAGTTGACTTACTGAGTTGATGCAGTGCGAGTGTAGACACTGCGTAACATATGTCAATCCTAACAGTACTCCAATAGCTTTCTCACAATGCCTGATAGTGACTGCCCTGGATCCACAGTGAACTCCACTGTCCAGGGGTTACAGAGACTGGAATCTACCTTCCCACTTACAAAACCCCACTTTATTTTTGAAATGCCTTTTCCTGATTGCCCTGCTTGGCAAGCACATCTAGCAGTTCTCCCTTATTGTGTGTAACTGCCCTACCAACTGTGTCAGCTCCGTGCATTAGACTTGCTTCTGTCTGGAGTAGACGAGGTATTAGATCTCCTGGGCCTGTGGGAAGAAGAGGTTTTTCAAACACAGCTATGAACCAGCTACAGAAACATGGACATCTGTGAAATAATTGTATGGGGGATGCAGGCGACGGCATATGACAGGGATCAGCAGCAGTGCCACGTGAAAGTGAAAGAACTGTAACAGGCATACCACAAGGCCAGAAAGGCCAACATTTGATCTGGTGCTGAGCCACAGATCTCCTGCTTTTACAATAAGCTGCATGTCAGGGTTGGCAGAGTTCCCACCAGCATCATGCAGACAACTGTAAATACCTCAGAGGAGCCTGAGACAGAGACCCAGTCTGTGAACAATGAGGAGGAGTTGGGAGACATGGCAGAGCTGGGGGTCCAGCTATGTCATGAGCCAGGACCTGTTCAAGACTCCACGTCAGTCTGGCCAGTCCCATCAGCAAAGCACCGATGAACCTGGTGAAGGGAAAGAAACCTTGGGTAAGTGTGTGCATTTTCCTTTACAGTGTTTAAACGAAAAGGTGGAGACCAGCCCATCCCCAAGTAAACAAGGCATAGGCATCTATTTTCATTGTTTGACTCTTCTGAGAAGAGAGAGCAGTACAAAAACAGAGGTAGAGTTGGTATCTGCATTTCACTCCCCTGTTCGGTTAGGGGGGGTGGGAGGAGAGAGGGAGCAGTTTATGTACATAGAGGTGTCCCTTGCATCCTCCTGAGAAATTTCTGACACTTTCATGAATGTACTCTGCAGTTATCCCCCAAAGGTTTCTAGGGATGGCTGACTTTGTTATTCCTCCACTGTAGGACACTTACACACACACACACCTCCGCAAGGAGTTCTGCTGGCACAATTGCAGTAAACAGGCTAGCAGCATATGGACCCGGGTGGCTTTGGGATGTTCTCTGTGCCTTTGTTACTCTCAGAAGTGAGATAATATAAAATCACCACCTCCTGTTGAAAATAGTGCCAATATTTAGCACCGTTGTCCTATACGCGTATCTATGGAGAAAGGGATTGAAATTTTGTTTCATGCAACCAAAAATCTTAGTGCCTGCCTCCCCACACTCCTCCTTTGCCCCTGCTGAGCCATACACACCATGGCTGAGACTGGAGAGCAGTGCTGTGCAGAGATACTCCAAAGCTGAAGTGTCAATAAGCATGTCATTAAAAAAATTATGGGAATAAGGGCAGGGGATTTTGAAACTTGTATCTTTCCCTTTCTGTTGTAAATCCAATGATACATATCTCTGTTTCATCTGTAGCTGCTCCATTGTGGCCCCCTCCACACCACTGGAACCCTGAGGAGAAGAAAGAAGAGGGCTAGTGAGATCCTGCAAGCCAGTGATGCATCAGACTGCAAACAAAAGGCCTGTATGGCCAGCGTGGCAGATGGCATGGGGAGGGATAGAGAGGACAGGAGAAAATGGAGAAAGACCCAGAAATCCCAGCAGGAAAAGGAGAGAATTTCTCAGGCAGCAAACACAAATGCTGCATACTCTGGTTGACCTACAAGTCCAGTAATCACCAACTCGCCACCCTTTGCAGTCCCTGGAGAACTTCATGGTGGCAGCTTTCCATGCACCCCAACATTCCACCTGGCATCCTGGGCCCCATCTCTACTGCTACCACTCCATGCTGGTGGATAGTAAGGAAAACTACAGCTTCACATACACTGTCCTATGAGAGCCACAGTTGCTTTGTGTAGCCAGAATAGACTGCACTTGTGCACTGAAATGGACAGAAATGTTTGCTGCCTTTCTGATTTTAAAATTCTGTTCCATTAATATATGTAAGAAGCTTGTATTGTATTGTCCTTTATTATATGCACATTGATTATTTTGCACTGTTTTTGTCACTCAAATTTCTATTAAAAAATATATAATTTTTTAAAAAATAAATTTAGTTCACCTCTCCTACTGCAGAATGCATAGTGGTACTCGAGCACCCAGGACTTTTAAGTTTATGGCACCACAGAACTCATAGGTTCAACAAAACACCAGATTCAACAAAACGCTAGTCAAGTGTGTAAATGTACAGCAAGCTGCATGTAATTCATAGGTTCACTAAAAGACAGTGTCATATGTATAAATGTACCACTAGCACTACACAGTTCCTAACTGGCCCTACGGGTTTGGGGGCTCAGCACAGACCAACATGGTGCATTAATGTGGCTGACTATTATAGTGCTCTTTCAAAGTCTTCTACAACCGCATAGTTCCACATTAAGCCTTTATGTCTTGCTGTTCAAACTCAGCAGACAGCCACTCCACCTCCACCCTGGCAGCTTTTCCCCTTTGCCTCAGAGATATTATACGAGGCACAGCAAGCTGCTATAACCTTTGGGATACTTTTTTTTTTTCCCCCTGAAATTCAGTATTGGAAGTACACACCAGTGTCCCTTCAGTCTACCAAAAGCACTTTCAACTGTCCTCCTTTAAATACTGAGCTGGTGGTTAAATCTTTCCTGTGTGCTGTCAAGGTGGCTTTTAGTGAACCATGGGAACAAGGGGTAGGCAGGGTCTTCCAGTATCGTTATAGGGATTTCAGTATCGCCAATGATGATTTGCTGGTTGGGAAAGAATATCTGTTTTCAGCTTTCTGAACAGTCCTATGTTCTTAAAGATGTGAGTGTCATACACCTTCCCTGACCAGCGCCCATTTATATCAGTGGAGCATCCCTGGTGATCCATCAACACATGCATAGCCATAGAAAAGTAAGCCTTTTCTGTGGATGTACTCTGTGGCAAGGTGGGCTGGTCCCAAAATAGGGATATGCATGCCAAGTATCGCCCCACCGCAGTTTGGGAACCCCACTGCTGCAAATCCATCCACTGTGTCCTGTACGGTACTGAGAGTCAGTCCTGCATAGCAGGACACTATTAACGGCCCCCAATGTGGATTTTCTAACTCCAAAATGATTTCCCACTGACCAGTACTAATCCAGCATTGCAAGCTTCCAAGTGTGATTGCCATTCGCTTCTTAACTGTCATCGCAGCTCTTATTCTGGTGTTCCTGCGCTGGAGGGCTGGGGCAGACATTTGAAAGTTCTGCAGCTACTGCATCTCATCCTATACCTGCATTGCAATGCATCTCACCAGTCAGTGCTCATTTCTCAGGCCCAGAAGGGCCGCTCCACTTTCTGCAGGTGCTCGGTGAACACCACCAGCAGCCTTGAATTGTTTTTCACTCTGTCCCTTAACAGTCTGTCCTTGAAGAAATCGTTATGTCCCCAAGTATTGCAGTTCTTTCTCCGGGTCTGCAGATACCAGGAGATCTTGCATCCTGTATTTGCAACATTCATAAGGACAGTGCAGAGCTGCGTGGGCTCCATGCTTTTGTCAGAGATAGCCGATGCAGAAAAGGGTTGTGGGGGTTTGTCGGATTCTTTAAAAAAGCATGAAGATTACGGGATATGGATGGCATTATGGGATGGAGAAAGTTGTATGCAGGAACTTGACCTTTCACTCCCAGAGGTCCCTGCATGATTCATTTCTATTTCACAACACATTGCGATAATTTCCCAAAAAGATTTAGCTATGTGGCAGTGGGTGGGGCACACTGGGATGCCTTCCTGTGGTGCACTGCACTCTACTTTGACACAAGCACTCCTGAGTACATGCAGTGCAGACACAAGCAGCCAAGTATACACAAGCAGTGTACTAACATGGGGCAGCTGTATGCTGATGTAATTTGCATCAACCAGAATTTGTAGTGTAGATGTGGCCTTATGCTTCAGTCAGCAGTCTCCTCTGGTGGATTGTTAATTCGGTAGTTACAATAGACTTTCTAGTCTTGTGACTTAGAAAACTATTATTCCTATCCTAAAACAAGTAGCCACATTGGCTGCAATAAAGAAATATAAAGTAAATTCCATTACCCTTTACGATCTGTAATGCCTGTCAAACCATGCTGTCTTGGGAGCTGAGGAATACCTAAAGTATAAAGAAAAATAAAATATAACCTAATGGAGAGAAGACTGAGACTTACAGAAATGCCATTCAGAGTGATCTAGTGTGATGATCATAGTCTGACTGGCACTCATCAAAAATTGGCTAATGTATCTTAAAGATATTGGTTCCAAAGATTCTGTGATATAGTACAATTTTATTACGTGTTTATACTATCTTAGTTAATAAAGACTGTTGAATGCATGTATGTCTAATACCAAACATGTTTTCTTTTTCCATACTCTCTCTCTTCCCTTATATCTGTAGCAAGCACGCATTATTGTAAATAATGCATTGAAACTCTATTCTCAAGACAAGACTGGTATGGTGGACTTTGCTTTAGAATCTGGAGGTAAATATAGCAGAAAAGCTATAAATAGATCAGTCTGCTATTTGCAGCAATGTAATCTGAGTTGTCAGTTTTTGCAGTAAATCAAGAATTGTGTGCAATGCTTGACAAACAATAGGAATACTATATATTTTGTATTATTTTGTTGAGTTGGATGTTAATAGTATACACCATAAAAAGTGCATACAAACTTAACTCTGAACTCCTGGTTGCACTGTGGAAACACACTGATATACTTGAAGTAAGAAGTATGGCACAAGTTTGAAGATGCTTTAAAAGAAAATACTGAGGGATAATTAAGCGAGAATAGCTATTTTGTACGGTATACATATTATGAACATGAACTAACTGAAAAAGCGCATACCTGTTCAGTTTTTTAAACCTCTTTTTTTCAAAAATACAGTTTCATTTCAAGCTGAAAATAGTACTTATTTTCTGAGAAATATGCTACTGTTTGAAAAGTGGGGTACAGCTTCCTTAATGTAAAACTCTATTTAATATGGGGACAGGATGCTTGCATTAAAATAACAGTGTTTACAAGAAAGTTACTAGAATTTGACAGGATTTGGATATTTGTTTGAAAAGAATCACTGGCATATTCAATTTGGAACAATATTTTACTGAAAGCAAGACTAGTTACCTGATGAAAAATGGAAACACTTCATTATTTGTGTTTTAACCTGACTCTTCTTTTTGAGGTGGCAGCATTCTGAGTACTCGCTGTTCTGAGACCTACGAGACCAAAACAGCTCTAATTAGTCTCTTTGGAATTCCTTTGTGGTATTTCTCTCAGTCTCCCAGAGTGGTAATCCAGGTAATGAAAAGCAGAATATACCTAAAATCCTGTTGTTTATTTGTATTTCTGTAGCACCAAGTCATGGACCAGGACCCCATTGTGCTATGAAAGTTGTGTTTTAAAGCTACACGGTCAAGAAACTTTGGATACCAGAATTTTTCTTGAAATGGAAGATGCATCCGGAACTTCATTTCTGCTGAGAATAGAACCCTGTGCAGAGAGCCTACACAAGGCCTAGTCACCATTTAAATCACACTTAAGCCCTATGTGGAGGATTTAAATGTGACTAAGGAGGTGCATAGGCCTTGTCCAGAGGGCCAGCCCAAGGAGAATTTTCTCTAAAAATGAGAGAAATAAGCACAGGCCAAGGCCTGTCATTATTGGTTTTGAACACCTCTGTTTTTTGGTTGTCTAGCTTGAAACATTTGAAAGAGGGCCTGGTTTTCAGAAATTTCTGGGCACACATCCTATGAAATTTACGCCGCTTTAGGGAGAATCAATTTCGGCATGGAGATCACTAGTCGCTTTTGACAATACTGGCTATAAGTTTTATGTAGAACCCCAACTGCTAGGGAGGAGCACAAAAGAATAGTGGGGACAAAGTCAAAAAGGGTAAGGCACAAAATTAGTTACACCTAATAAGGGACATAAGGCAATAAGAAGAGATCAGTCAGCCTACCTTCAAAACTAGAAAGATACTGGAACGAATTAATAAACAATCCATTTGTAAGCACCTAGAGGATAATAGGATTATAAGGAATAGTTAGCATGGATTTGTCAAGAACAAATCATGCCAAACCAACCTAATTTCTTTCTTCTGCAGGTTTTCTGGCCTAGTGGATAGGGGGGAAGCAGTGATGTATTTTGATTTTTAGTAAGGCTTTTGATGCTGTCCCACAGGACATTCTCATAAGCAAACTGGGGAAACATGTTATAGATTAATTTACTATAAGCAACGTGCACAACTGGTTGTAAGACCATAATCAGAGTTATCATCAATGCTTCACTGTCAAATTGGGAGGGTGTATCTTGAAGAGTTCCGCAGGGGTCAGTCCTGGGTCCAGTACTATTCAGTGTTTTCATCTTAATGACCTGGATAATGGGATGGAGAATATGCTTGTAAACTTTGCAGATGACACCAAGCTCGGGGGGGCAGAGTTGCTCGCGTTTTGGAGGCTAGAAATAGAATTCAAAAGAACCTTGACAAATTGGAGAATTGATCTGAATTCATTAAGATGAAATCCGTAAAGATAAGTGCAAAGACCTTCACTTAGGAAGGAAAAATTACATGCACAGCTACAAAATGGGGAATAATTGGCTAGGTGGTATTGCTGAAAAGGATCTGGGGGTTATAGTGGAACACAAATTGAATATAAACCTACAACGTGATGCAGTTGCAAAAAAAAAAAAAAAAAAAAGAAGCTAATATCATTCTGGGGTGGTATTAACAGGAGTCAGAGTAGCAGCCGTGTTAGTCTGTATCTGATCACGAAAACTTATGCTTTAATAAATTTGTTAAGTCTCTACGGTGCTACAAGTACTCCTTTTCTGTTAACACGAGTGTTATATTTAAGACACAGGAGATAATTGTCCTGCTCTACTTAGCACTGGTGAGGCCTCAACTGGAGTATTGTGTCCTATTCTGGATGCCACACTTTAGGAAAAATGTGGACAAATTGAAGAGAGTCCAGAAAAAAGCAACAAAAATTATCAAAGGTTTAGAAAACCTGGCCTGTGAGGAAAGGTTAAAAAACCTGGACATGTTTAGTTTTGAGAAAAGAAGACTGACAGGGGACCCAGTGAGTCTTCAAATCTGTTAAGAGCTGAAATAAAGAGGAGTATGGTCAATTGTTCTCCATGTCCAGTGATGGTAGGACAAGATATAATTGACTTAATTTGCAGTGTGAAAAATTTAGGTTCGATATTAGGAACTAGAAGGGTAGTTAAGCTCTAGAAGAGGCTTCCCTGGAAGATTGTGGAATCCCTGTAATTAATTTTTTAAGAACAGGTTGGATAACCCTCTGTCAGGGATGCTCTAGATTTAATTGTTCCTGCCTCAGTACAGCGGACTGGACTTGATGACTTCTTGAGGTCCCTTCCAGCCCTGCATTTTTATGATTCTATCAACAACAAAAATTGCTCTTGGCTTCTTAACTCTTGCATACTTATAGGCATATTGTATGACAATAATGCTATCTGGGGGTATAATTTAACTGTCAAAGTTGGTTTATTCACCTATTCAATGCTGTCCTTTATGTCTAACATCTAACTTTTTTCAGACTACTTTGAATATATAATATTAAGGGTTTTTTCCCCCCAACAAAGGTGAGGAATAACTTGTAACTTGTATTGTCAGCCTCTTGCACCGGAACACCAAGTACTAGCCATTGCAAAACATATTTGAGAATAAAACATTCTTTCATTACTGAAAATACTTATCTGGTAGTTGTGTTTTCTGTCTTTCTGTACAGTGAATAATTTAAATCATACCTGTAATGCATGTTCTCTCAAATTTTTGAATCAAGAAAATGTCCATTCAGCTATTGTAGAAAAATGAGAATTTCTGACCCTAATGCTGATATTGCAGAGGAGAAATATCCTGCTTCTTGCAAACAATGTTTTTTGATCTGGTAATTTGACCCAAACTCTCTTAAATAGACAGAATTGTTTTTCATGTAACAGGGTACAAAGTATAATCAGTGGCATAACCTAATCAAACTAAACTTTAATAACTCAGTTCATTAGAATGTTTTACCAATATGTTCAATATTTTTCTCCCCTGCCCCCTCTTTAGCCTGACATATATCCAGGAAACTGCTGGGCATTCAAAGGATCACAGGGATACCTCGTAGTTAGACTTTCTATGACGATCTACCCAACAGCCTTTACGTTAGAACATATACCAAAAACTCTTTCACCAACAGGAAATATCACGAGTGCTCCTAAGGATTTCTCAGTATATGTAAGTCTTTCTCTGGTAAAGTTAAGGTATTAAATGTTTTTGTTCTGTTTGGATAATTTGAGTGGAACTACTATTCACAATTTAAAATATTTATTAGTGTAAAACAGCCCTCTATTTTAATATTTATATTTATTGCTCTTAAATGTACCTCCTTTTGTAGCGTTTTGAGATCTATGAATGAGAAATAATGTATAAAAGCTATGTATTTTTAAAAATTCTAATGCTTCCGTTATTTTACCCATCTAGTTTACAGAGAAGTGCATTAAAGCAAAGTAATCAAACTTATTACACTTGTGTGATGATTATCTAAAGTGATCTTCAAGTCCAAGCACTTTACGCTTTCATAAAAGGAATGGATCATAATCCTTTCAGGCACTGTCACATAACAGTAGTCTACAGCTGTATGGCACAGTCATGGTCCATTTTGACTTCTGGAAACTGTTTTTATTTCCAATTGAGATGAAATATGTAAAATAGTGAGCATTGATACCCATCCCAGTCTTCTTCAATCCCACCCTTTCCTGGTCCCACCTTTTCTTTCATTCTTGTTATTCCTGGACAACCCTTATTTTCTCCACAATGATAACTAGTGGTTGTACTGCCCTCCCCTGTTAAGAATGTGACACCCTATCACTGCAGCCAAACTTAGTTTTGTCATTCTGATTATCTGAAATTTGAAGGAAAAAAAAAAATAATCAAGGCTGAACTCTTGATGGTAGGGTCTAGAAGATGAATATCAGGAAGAAGGTACCCTTCTTGGACAGTACGTCTATGATCAAGGAGGAGAGTCACTACAGATGTTTCAAGTGACGGTAAGCCCACATTAACAGAAAATACACAGCGGTTGCCAAAGCCACTTGACTTTGCCTCTTGCAGTAGTAGCAGTAATTTAATTTTAACGCTGCTTTGATACATTTGCTGATGCCTTTCACTACCCGTGTGCTCGTATGCAAAATGCTAGCGTTCTGAAATGTGATTCTGATTAAACTCTTGCACTGATAACTGCAATAACTTAATGGCATTATTCCTGACTTGCGCCATTGAAATTGAAGGGTCATTTTGGCATTTTTATTTTTGCCTTCCATAAAACATGCATAATGACGAATATTTTTCAGTATCAGAAGTTTGCAATATCCATATTAAATA